GTGCATGTACAAGTGTGTGTGTGTGTGTGTGCATGTACAAGTGTGTGTGTGTGTGTGTGCATGTACAAGTGTGTGTGTGTGTGCATGTACTAGTGTGTGTGTGTGTGTGTGTGCATGTACAAGTGTGTGTGCGTGTGTGTGCATGTACAATTATGTATGTGTATGTGTGTGCATGTACAAGTGTGTGTGTGTGTGTGTGTGTGTGTGTGTGTGTGTGTGTGTGTGTGCGTGCGTGTGTGTGTGTGTGTTTTAGCATGTGCATGTACAAGTGTGTGTGTGTGTGTGTGTGTGTGTGTGCGTGTGCTTGTACAAGTGTGTATGTGTACACTTATGGCAATGGATTGGTATCCGCCATAGACTGGTGTCAATCATCTCTTTAAGGAGCTTTTGGGTGTGGGTGTGAGTGCCCACAGGTATGGCTGGTGTGCTGAAGATCGCCAGGAAGTGCCGGGGCGGCTCACCCGTCGGCTAAGGCCTGGGTAGGTCAAGTTGCTACTTGCTGTGTCTTGCTCTGCTGGAGGATCATGAGTGCTGAACCTGGTCCGGATGCCGGAGCTTAAGTGGGTCTGAGCTGTGCCAGCCACCCGGGAACGAGGGGAGCCTGCGGTCCAATGGGCGAGCCGTGATGTGTCAGTGGTCCGAGCAGCGCTCCCCTCCCTAAATCCTTGGATGGCAGGCTAGCTTCAAGAGAAACATTACATAAAACCCCAGCTAGTCTGTCAGGACAGGCTGAAACTGTGCAGCAGGCCGAGTCTGTACAGCCAAAGTCTCGTCCTCTGACCCGAGGTGGCACTTCCAACCTAGGCCCTACACCCCTCGGTAGAGCCTTAACCGGAGTGTCTGACTTAGAGGAAGTTGTACAATCCTCAATCAACGAGGATCTGTATTTATCTGATGCCACCAGCACTGGGGCATCTGAAGCTGAAGCAAGTGACACTGAGTAACCATCATGGCACACAATCTAAGCATACTGCAGTGGAATATCTGTAGCTATAAAAGCAAGAACTTTCTCCAGTCAATTGTGCGAGCAAGGAGCATTGACGTCGTCATGCTCCAGGAGACACTAACAATGGGATCCGTGTGCTTCTCAGGATATCATGCCTTCACCACTCCAAACCTGGATGGTGCTAGAGGCCTGATGACCCTGGTAAAAGAAGCTATCCCTTGCTCCTTAATAGCCAACCCGCCGCACTGTGGAGATGGTGTTGAATCTCTTGCTGTTGAGATTCAGCTACCTGGGGGCTCTATAAAAATATACAATATTTATAGCAAACCACTGTGTGAGAGCTTAGATCTAAACCAGGTCTGTGCTACTGCAGCACAAGACCGAGTGATCATAGGGGGAGACTTCAATGCACACATGGCCATGCTGAATCCCCGCAAAAGGCCGAACGCGGCAGGCATTCACATAGCAGAAGTGCTTGAGACATTCCCTGAGATCGCTCTTCTCAACACCAAAGAACCAACGCATGTGAAGGGAGGGGTCCTAGACCTCACCTTTGCCACTGCAACAATGGTGGAGAGAATTCGGTGGTGTGTCGATGATACGGTTACTAGTGATCACTACGGCATAGTCACCACACTAATGGATGCAGGTCCAGCCCAAAGACCACATCACATTCCTAAATGGAAAACTGACAAGGCCAACTGGTTTGCCTTCCAGAAGGCTTGGCTCGATGTCTGAAAGACAATGAACCCAATAACAATAATGAAAATGTGGATGTGCTAGAGGCAAGGCTAATCCAGGCCATAAACCAGGCAGCCTCACAAACCATTCCCAAAACTCGCCCATGGTCCAGAACTCACAAAGACGCCTGGTACTATAATGACGAGATCAAAGAGGTCAACCACAGGGTTAATATGTGAAAAAAACTTCCGACGGCAAAGATCTCCCGACAATCTGGCCCTGTTGAGGGAAGCTGTTGTGGATGCCAAGGAAACTGCCAACAGAGTAAGGCAGGAAAAATGGCTGGAATGGTGCCACTTTTGGGCACCAGACCAGCCTTACAGAGTTGTGGAAACGGGTCAGGCAAGCGACAAGCCGCCAAGCCCCGAAATGCACTCATCATGACCCACAATCAGAGGCTAACAGATTGGTGCTTGAGTTCTCTGCCAGAACCAGCACCAACAATCTGCCTCCAATGATGAGAGAAAAACAACAAAACTTAAATCCAGAAAGACTTGCTCTCATAAGAGACAAGGCACTCGAAGCTGATGAACGGATGCCTTGTTCTCTCTTAGGGAACTAAGAAAATCATACAAATCCAGTTCTGGGTCAGCACCGGGATCTGATGGGATCTCTCACCCCATCATTTCGCATCTAGGCCTTGCAGGAGAACTTGCATTCTTGCAGGTTATCAACAAATCCTGGCAAACAGCCACGGTGCCCCAGAGCTGGAAACAAGCCACAATAGTTCCCATCCCAAACCAAAGGAGCCTGGCAAGTACCGTCCCATCTCTCTTCTCAGCTGCCTGGGTAAAACAGCTGAGAAGATGGTACTCAACAGGCTCCGATGGAAAACGGGTCCCCCCATGAACACCTGCACGGGTTCACAAGGGGTAAGAGCACTGCTCATAGCATTTCCACACTCTTAAGCACAATCTGCACCTCGCCCGCCGTGGTTGTCTTCCTTGACCTGGAGAAGGCTTTTGATTGGCAAGTCCACTTGCCATTCAAGAGACCCTAATCCACAAAGGAGTCAAAGGCAGACTCTTGGCCTGGATAGCTGACTATTTTAAAAATAGATCAGCAAATGTCAGATTTCAAGGCCACCTCTCACAGCACATGCCACTTGAAAATGGAACTCCTCAGGGAGGGGTTCTTAGTCCAGCCCTGTTTAATACCCTCATGTCCAACATACTCGACATTCACCTGCCAGAGGGATGCAAGATCATCTCTTATGCAGATGACTTGGCAATCATAGCCTCTGGCAATCACTGCCTTACTAGAGCTCAGCGTTGTCTGAACCTGGTGTCTGGAGAGTGTTGTAGGACGGGTCTAAAAATATCAGCAGCAAAATCCAAAGCAATGGCACTGAGAACCAATGTCAGAAACAAAAAACTCACACATACAGGGTATGGATCTGGAATGGGTGAAGGACTATCTATACCTTGGTGTATGGATAGGACACACACTCACTTTCAAAAAGGAGATCCAATACCTGCTTGACAGAACCAAGGAAAGACTGTCAGTCATGAAAGTCATGACAGGGAGACACATAGGGCAGGACACAAAGTACTAAGATCATTCTATGTACATGCTGTCCGTCCTATTATTGACTATGCATCTGTCGCCCTCATTGCTTCCAGCACAACATTAAAAGAAAAACTGGAAACAATACAAAACGAAGCAGCCAGGATAATTCTAGGTGCACCTAAGTGGACAAAGGTCATCAACCTCCTCATGGAAGCTGATTTACCGTCCATGGACACTAGAATTGATCTAATGGCAGCACAGTTCCTTTCCAAGGTCCTGCAGGCACCCACAAACTCCTATCTAAGACAAAGAGTTCTCAGACGCCTACAACAAGATTACCAGTTGTTTGCAGACAATTCCTGGCTCACACATACAGCCAGAGTTTTGATACGCTTTCAACTAAAAGATTCATTGCTTGCCAAGGGTATGGACTCCCCTCACCCTGATTACAAAGAACCCCCGCCGTGGGCAAACGAAATGATCGAATTCTCAATTCTAAATCTCACAATGAGAAAAGATCAATATTCCATGCCTAGCCTAAAGGCACAAGCACAAAGGGTCATTGAACAAATAACTCCGCCGGGTAGTATAACTTACTACACGGACGGATCCGTGGATCCAATAAACCATACTGCAGGCGCCGGCTTTGCAACAAAGGATACCACAGCATCCATTAGGGTCACTGACAATGCCTCAACGCTTCAGGCTGAAACGGTTGCGATCATGGAAGCATTGACACACGCGTCCCTGAGGGGAGGGCACGTTGTCATTCATACAGATTCAAGAGCAACTATTGACAGCTTACAGCATAGCATGCCCCCAGATAACATCTACCTCTTGACAACAGTACTATACATAGCCCAAAGAATCCTTAGTCAAGGTAGAAGAATCATCATAAACTGGGTCCCAAGCCACATAGGCATACAAGGGAACGAGCTTGCTGATAAACTAGCCGAAAAGGGCAGGGGTATGCCCCCATCCTCCATGATCGTTAAACCCAGCCGAAGGGGACTGAGCCAAGGTACCAAAGCTGCAGCGTGTGCGGTCCTCCGGGGAGCACATAGAGAAAACATCACAAAATCGCTCGCTGCCAAGTGGTACTCAGATGCTTCAGGCTATGAGCCACTGGCCCTTCCTCCAAATACAAAAAGAGGTACCGAAGTCATACTATTCAGACTAAGACTAGGTTACCAATGCGCTTGGCAAATTATTGACAGTGAGACTGGGAGGTTATGTAAACACTGCGGCGAGCCTAACGCCACCCTGTTACATTACTTGCAGAATTGTGTACACACACAATTTCTGAGGCAGGGACCACCCACCACAGCCGCCGGGCTGGTAAAAAGGGTGTGCAACATGCTTTCTCCGTGGCAGCTGGATCGCTTGCTTGCAATCCAGCCACCGCGGTAAGCATGCAGTTCAAAGAAAACATCTGAGTTAACTAGAAATAGTTAACACAGGCCGGGCCACTCCAGAGAAAAGGCCCGGGCGAAGCATGACTTCGCAAATCTAACTGAACTGAAACTGAACTGTCCGTGGTCAACCAATCAGGTCTCGGTATGCGTCGTCGAGAAGCTGCTGATGGTGAGGGTGAGAGGACAGGCTGTGGACCTGGACCCAACCTGGGGGAAGTATGCTCCGCTGCAGGTTGCGGGGGTCGGCTACACACTTATACACACACACACGCACACACTTGTGTACACAAAAGTGGGGTAAATTTATTTCCCATACTTGTGACACCAAACCTGGTTCACTATGGTACAGCAAGTGGGTTAGCAATGTTAACACATTACTATAATAATAATGAGGTAAAATCATTATCATAATATTAAAGTTAATAACTAATAACTAGTATTAGATGTGAAGGCTTTTTACCCCAAAAAATAAACAAATGGGGTAAACAGGTAGGCTTGATAACTAATTCCTTGGTGAATAAGCTACTGTGAAGGCATTTTTGTGTAAAACAAAGCAATAATTCATAGGATATATATATATATATATATATATATATATATATATATATATATATATATATATATATATATATATATATATATTTAGTGTGAATGAGTTTGATAATCTATTTTGAATCTTGGATACTTTTCTGCTTTACTTTGTGACACTTAATAACATAAGTATGGCCTTTTGATTGAATAAATAAATCTAATGGAAGAAAAAATTCTAATTTCCCCAGACACACTTATGCCATATGCAAAACATTTTTGGATTACCAATATGGTGACCATGCTTCATATTTGGCAACAGTGAGGGTAAGGGTAAAATGAAGCATGAACTTACTCAGGCTTTTAGACATTTTGTAATGGAGTTAATGCCAACTTCTTACATTTTATTGCATTGCCACTAAGCACACTACTAATTGGTCTCTAAAGAGGCATACCATAGGGAAAACCATCAATTATTTAAACTAACATAGCTAATCATCCACAATCACCTGTGGTACATAAAAAATATTGTGTGCTGGTGGTGCCATTGTTGGCTCAATGGCAGCCTGAACCAAAGAAGTTGCAAAATCAGCAAATGCTAGACTAGTAAGGTTCAATCTGTATGTACATATGGCAGAAGATACTATTACTTCTACTAAAACTCCACCCATTAACAGCCCCAATATATTTTACATAATGCACTTAATGATTCATTAATCATACACATCTACACCACCCATTCCATGAACATCTGTGTCTACATCACATCAATCTAAAAGAAGTGAACCACACAAGTGGTGTCATTTAGTGCTTCTGTACTTGATATTTTTTCTACTGACTTGTGAAAACCTGTGGATTTGTTACACTACAGATGAGCTGATAACTCTTTTTTTTGTGATGAATTTTTTTTATACATACATCTTTAAACATTATGGGTACTAGAATTTTTTTTGTCTTAATCATTTCATGCTAAAATCAATTCACAAGCATGAACAGAATGATGACAAAAAGCATGGACAGAATGATGACAAAGTATCTTTATGCACCACAAACTGTAGGAGAAAAATATGTTCCAGTGCAAAAACTTATTTTTTTCTTACTTTACAATATCTATATCTACATCTATATACATTACTTTACAAATTGATCAAATAGCAATTAATGAGCGTGTGGCAAGACAAAAAGCACAGGAAGCTACAGTTTAAGTGTAGCAAGTCTTAACACTGTACATATTATATAAAATGAACAACATATAGAAAGGTCTTCTCGGGGGAAAACACTCATATTCCATAACCTAAACTAAAATAACACCAATAATTAAATAATTAATTGCATTTTGTAAGTATGTTGAAAGTACCCCGTACTTAAACATATAAGGCACAATCAATCAGAACAGGTATATCTGGAAAATTATTGTACCTCAGGTCTCCTTAAATCCTGTTCCCCCCTCCCCTGATGCTACACAAATTGTCAAAGAAAAGAAAAAGAGAAAAAAAAAATAATATGAAAAAGAAAAAGGAAAAGGAAAAGAAAAGAGAATAAAAAGACCCAGTTTTATCTGAAAAAATAGCAAAGAGACTCGTACAGGATGATGATACTTATGCGCATGTTCATTATGCAATCCTTCAGTTACATTTTATCAAGTTCAAATCTAATATACCACATGCTTTATGCAACGATAAACAAAGAGCAAGTTTTCCTTTTTGAGTCTATAAAAATTAATCAATATAAACAAGTTTTGCAACAATTTTATTTTCAATCTTGTCAGTTTTCCCCCGAAAAAAAAAAGACCCCATTCATGCAATAACAGTGGGTGAGCATTCTCATTCTCTATATAATGTGTAACTAGTTCATCTCAACACACATGTTATTAAGGGAAGCAGTAAACCCTCACCTCTGCCTCACTTTTATTAGATGCCCCCTTCTGAGGTTTGTTACTTAAAGGCTTCATCTTCTCTACTTCTTTCATCTTTTTGTTTCCGTCAGTGTTAGCTTCTCTTAACACAGCAGAAAATGCAACTTTTTTGAAATTTCTGCGTTCAGCTCCAAAACTGGCAATATGCATGTACCAACGTGCAACGTGCGGATACTCCTCAGGTGAGGGGGCACCATCAACAGCTTCCCATGCTGCTACATCTGCCTGTGTGGGCTCATAGCCACAAATATAACTCTGGTCCCTTAAAATGCTGTTAAGATCTGCCAAGTCTACTTCTAGGGAGTCCATTCTGATTTCTTCAAATGTCTACGTCTAATAAACAGAAATCAAGTATTGGTAAAACATCCAAGAACTTCAAAGTTATCAGTTTTAATGTAAAAAATAAGGACAAAAACAAATTTGAAGATCATCTCCGTAGCAATCGCAGTTTTGATAGCAGGGGAGGGTATGAAGTATATCAGAGAAAGTATGGGGTACAACAGGCTTAAATACAAAGAATAGAGAATAGAAATGCTTAAAACCAGCACAACAAACACTTAAAATCAACTAATGAATCTCTACAGATGTGTACACCATCTTAGAAAGTCTACAGACTGACACCCCAATTTAAGAAAAAAACTATGGGAATTCAACTCCACTTTCAGTAAAATATAAGGGAATTCACATCACCTAATAAGTCCTGACCAATAAGGTAACCCAATTCCATGTCACAAACTTTATTCACAATCTAAGTTGCCGTGACTAGGTGTGGGCAGGGTTGGTGGGGGGCTCTTCTCCCCAACACCTCCCCGGGAAACATTCTCTTCGCCTCTGTATGTATGGCAAGTTATAGCTGCATACATGCTGCCTTAAAGAACATACCAAAAAACTATTTATCTCAAGACACCAAACTTTCCTTCACCCCTCTCAATTGTTTTGATGGTTCAGTTTAAATCACTTTTCCAGCAATTTTGGGCACTTTATGGGCTCACAAATCAAGCTGTGATAGTTACTAAGACCTATTTCTTCTGCATAGCCAAACTGTCAAAATAAGGCCATCATGAGGTCTTGAAAGTCCCGGTGGAAAGTGCAAATTCACATTAGGTTTTTGTAAATAGCATAAAATAATGACAACACATAAGAAGTTTATAAAAATAAAAGAATGTTTAAAATACATGAATTACGAAAATCAGGCAGTGAAATACAAAATGATTGTCTTCACAATCGCATAGCAATACATGAACTAGAAAGAGTGCAGGGTACTTTTTTCAAATACGTCTGCATAACAGATCATGATGATTTTTGTATCATTGGATTGCTCTCACAGTCTAATTTCCAAATATAGAGAAATTATTGTGCGGACCCTCCCCCCCCAACATTCTTGGCCATGATTGCAGAGGAGGGTACGAAAGGTACCATGGAAATTGTGGGGTACAATGTAAATGATATACACAGAATCAGTCACTAAACCCTCTACATATTCACGGCAGGCACAAGCATAAGACCACTATGCATGAGTGGCGTTGCCAAGTCTGTCCGACACTTTCTCCTGCTGTGAATGCATGGGGGATTCTTTGTTTTCTTAGGCAAGGGTCATAACGAGCATAGCCCCCTACATAAGACAAAATAGTGACTGATTCTGTATATTTACATTTTACCCCGCTATTTCCCTGGTTCCTTTGATGCCCTTCCCTGCTATCAGGGCCAAGAATGTGGAGGTAAGGGGGGCTTCTGCGCAATAAAACCTACATATTTGCATTGTAGACAGTGAGAGGAATCCAATGATACTATTATCGTCACGATCCATTGTGCGGGCGTATTAGAAAAATTACCAATTATAGGAATGAGTTAAGCGGTCATAGTATTGTAGACATTCATGAAGTAAATAAACCAAGGAACTTAAAAAAGATGGGTCGATCTCTCTTCTCTGTCATGTATTTTTGGTAAATATAAGGCCTCTGCATCCTAAAATTCATTCTATCCTACTTTATTTTTCCCGCTCTATAAGATGGCAACATCATTTTTGCTCTATCTACGCACATCGCCTTCTTCACCCTCTACCGTAATTTACCTGAGCGACTTAGTCTCTTAAGTGGTGGTTAGTAGCTGATATTTTCATCATTTAGTGAGCCCACTACAGCTGTGCCTATGTCGTTGTTGACCATTTCTTAAGTTCAACAAGATGGAGGTGTCCATTTCCCTCTATATATGTGCATGACTCTGTAATTTGTATTGAAAAAATTGCAGTAATCTTCTAGAATACGTCTGCCAAACGGATCACAACAATTTCAGTATCATTGGATTTTTTCCACTGTCTAGTTTCCAAATATATAGAAATTATTACGCAGAAACCCCCAAAACCCACACATTCTTGGCCTCAACAGCTGGGGAAGGTATGAGAGTCGCAGAGGACACAGCCCCCTGCATTAGACAATATAGTGACTGATTCTGTATCATTTACATTCTACCCCGCAATTTCCCTGGCACCTCCCATGCCCTCCCCTGCTATCGGGGCCAAGAATGTGGGGTTGGGGGGGCTTCTGCCCAGTAAAACCTACATATTTGCATTATAGACAGAGCAATCCAACGTTACTAAAAACATCGAAATCCGTTTGACGAACGTTTACTAGAAAATTACCAAAATTGCAAAGAAGTCATAGGCCTTTCACTATTACCAGCCCTTGTGGTCTTGGAAACACCACATGGCCTCCCGAGCTGGCACGCCAGATGGTTGCAAACGCTTGTATTCACCTTCCTGATACAGGATATGCTGCCTAAAATTCCTAGTAGACGCTTGTATTTCCCTTCCTGACACTGAATATACTGAAAAACTGTCAATGTGACATTACTTATGCTGACCATTTTGCGGTCCCGAGTTCGATTAAAAGTGTTCAAAAACACAACCATTTAATTGCTCACCCACTGTATAATGGCTAAGGCATACAAATAAATCTGCACACACAATTTAGTGCTAAGACAATGGAAGTCAGTTTATGTGAAAAACAGAACCAACCCTCCTAACGCGAACGGCGGCGGCGGCAGCTTTGGCGTACGTCCTCCCGCACGACACCGCCGCGCCAGCGCCCGCCACCAGCCTCAACAGCCCCATCACGCGATACTTTAACAGAAAGGCAATCTCAAGCCAGCACCACCTTGGTCTCAGACATTTGGGAGCTGAACGCGCTTTCCACTTCCTCTCCCACCGGGGGTCACGAACGACGATGCAACGAGGGAATCACCCGCGACGAACAAGTGACGGGCGCCGAGCGGGTCTGCCTTTACCGGGGTCGTCGCCGAGCGCCTTTTTATCGTGCCGTTCTATCGTGCCTGACGCAATAGCGAGGGGAAGGATGTCATTGGCCGGGTTGCGTCATATCACGTTATCGGATGCACGATGCAGAATGGGATACCAGTCCTGCAACAATTTTGGAAGCTGAAGAGAGATACAAGGCAAAGTTCCTTCATTTATCAAAAAAAAAAAAAAAAAAAAAAATCCACATTTCGTTACTTACTCATTTCCTCCTTATTATTGCTATTCTAACAAAATCCAAGATTGCATTGTGCTATACTTCCATCTATGCATATTTCCACTATAAAATCCAATGCTCAGTTGCATTTTGACAAATACTAATGCGTATGCTTGAATCACTCTTCCAGAATTGCAGCCAAGAAAATCTCGGTTTAAAAGCCTTTTCAAGATTGTACATCCATGTTTTATGACAGTTTTTCACACCTTAAAAACTGTATATAATGTAATTTCCCGTGTTTTCTTTAGTTTTCTGGAGTGAGTTGCAATAAAGTTAATGACCAAACTAGTAGAGTACATTAAAGTATTGACGAGTATTTGATATTCATATACACTCTAGCTTTTTGACTACAGTATCGGAATACATATCAGTAAAAGAACTATGGCGTACTATACCGCCTTGCACCAGTA